AGCCTTTTCTTAAAAATAGCAAGATTTGGTGCCTCACACATGGTCACATCAAGAGTGTTCCAATCATCTACTGATTTATTGTTGTCCATTGACCCCAGTTTGTTCTAGATTTAGATTTACGGATGTCCTTATTATGTCTGGTATTATAATTATGAAAATCCTTACTCTGCGTATAATCAAATTTATGTAAAAACATATTATTTACACATTTGTACATAAAGATAACACAATGATGTTGCGTTCGCCGAACTTCTAATGGCTTCCATACCAGTTGTCTCAGTGCGTCGGTACAAGAGTGATAAGGTGGTAGGTAAAGAATAATTCGGGCAGCTTTATTCTGTAAAACCTGCAAGTCTGCCATAAGTGAAGAATTTCGTCTATCTCCCCAGATTATATCACCATAGTCTAACACTGGTAAAATCAAACTATTGTCGAACATGATCCTCGCATATTGTTTCAGCAGATGTTTGATACGCCTGAGTAGTCCTAACTTTTTGTCGACTTTACATCTAATGTGATCTACATGGTCCTCCCATGAAAGGTGATTGTTAATTTTAATTCCCAGATAGTTAAATGTTTCAACTTCGTTCAGAAACTCTTCTTCAACCTCAAAATTGATGGAGTCAACTTTGCCCAATCTCTTGCTACTACCAACTAACATGAATTTAGACTTCGAGACATTTAAAGTTAGATGGTTTTATACCTTCAGCCAGTCGGTAACAATCTTCAAATCAGTGTTTAGGTTACTTTGAAGATCATAAACACATTTGTGCGCATAGTACATAGCAGCATTGTCCGCATATAATGTTATTTTATTGTTGTTAAGGATGTTGGGTAGATCATTCAAGAAAATTCTAAACAGTAATGGGCCCAGAATAGATCCCTGGGCTACCCCAACTTGGACAGGCTGCTTGTCAGAGTACACATTATCATTACACACAACTTGATTCCTATTTGAGAGGTATGACTGAAACCAGGCGAGATCATGATCATGGATTCCATAACAAGATAATTTTTCCAACAATATAGAGTGGTTAACCATATCGAAAGCCTTTGCAAGATCGAGAAATATAACTCCTGTTATTTTTCCATTGTCCATGTTCATTAGAATGTCATCTGAAAATTGAGCAACCGCTGTAATTGTTGATGAGCTACGTCTGAAACCAAACTGTTGTAAAGAGAGTAAATTATTTTCATCCAAGTATGTTGAAAATTGTTGGTGAACTGCCCTTTCCAGAAGCTTGCTTACCACAGGGCAAAACAAGGGCTTACCACAGGGTAAAAAAAGGGCTTACCACAGGGCACAGGTCTTTCCATACAGATGGGCTGTTCCATACAAAAAAAGGGCTTACCACAGGGCACAGGTCTTTCAGGAACTGCCCTTTCCAGAAGTCCAGAAACTGAACTGCCCTTTCCAGAAACTGCCCTTTCCAGAAATCCATGTTTCCAGAAGTCCACAGAACTGCCCTTTCCAGAAGTCCACAGGAACTGCCCTTTCCAGAAGCTTGCTTACCACAGGGCAAAACAAGGGCTTACCACAGGGTAAAAAAGGGCTTACCACAGGGAACAGGTCTTTCCATACAGATGGGCTGTTCCATACAAAAAAAGGGCTGACCACAGGGCACAGGTCTTTCCATACAGATGGAAATGTTTTGGTTTCAATGGATTTGTTGAACAAAGAGGTTAATATTGGTGCAAGTAGTACTTCAGCAGCATCCTTTAACATTCGCGAGCTGGTTTTATACAATCCTATGGCTTTATTCTGTTTTAAACTTCGTAATTGGGCAAGTACATAATCACATGTTATTGATTCAAGGTTAAATACGGTACTACAGCGATCAATCCCTAAAGAGCAGCATACAGAAGATCCAAATGTCTTACCCAAATTTATTCCAATATTTACGAAATGGTTGTTCAATAGGCAAGCAATAGATTTTGGAGATGTATAAGTAATTCCATCGACAATGAGACTTGTAGCCCGAGTGCAGGCCCAAGGAAACTGATAGTGGGCCTGCAAGCAAGGCCCGGTATTTTGTAAAACGCCCCTTTTCATAACACGCCCCATTCGCACGTCAATTGTCAAAAAAGAACCAATGACAGCACCCAAATATTGACAAACAAACTCGCATTAAAATGTTGCGGGGTTTTCTCTGCTTATTCAGAACATAAACAATGTGTAAATGGCTGCGTTTTAACTCCCAAAAAGCAAGCAACACAGTCAGTAATTGCCAAATTTGCAAGTGCTCATTTTCAACTAAAATCGTAACAGAAAACCAGTCTCAAACTTCAAATCGTGAGGGAAGTCGTGCGACCACATTAGCATTCGCTGTCGCCATTGTTATAAATAAATTGTCTCACTTATCAGATTGTGTGTGCAATTCTTGTTGGCGGCGGAAAGTACGAAATTTATTTCAGTTATTTCATTTGGTAAAGAACTCTACAAAAGAAGAGAGGGTTCAGAGTCCAGATTGTTTCGTTTCAAACGGCAATTTAATACCGCCTTCTGTTTCGCTCTCTCAGCGAAGCCTTGTAAATCGCAAAGTGTTTCGAATAGGCTTACATGCAACTGCATCTCAACATCAACCAAAAGATCATTTTCTTGAGGAACATATAACGTATCAACTCTGTTTGAAATTAATGAAACTCAAGTGTAAAGGTTACTATAGTTTACCCCAGTCGTAATGTTGCTATTCCAACACCTCACGACAAGCAATCCCCATTGGCATAACGTCAAAATCATCTCTTCCTTCAAGTAAACAATAAACAGTCTGTTCTTGTTCCATTTGTAATCGAAAAAAGTGATCAATTTTCGAATTTTAAGCTTATCGAGAGAATATCGAGAGCCTTTGTGATGAATCACTGACCTAATTATAGAATCCAACAGCAAACAGCCAATCAGAATGCCGCGTTCGTGGGCGAACGCGGAAAGTACAAAATACCGGGCCTTGCTTGCAGGCCCACTATCAAGTTCCCTTGAGCCTGCTCCCTTGGGCCTGCACGCGGGCTATGAGACTTGTAACGTTACTTGTTAGCTTTGTTGGCAGTGTTTCCTTAAATGCTTTCCATAAACGACTGATATCACCATTCGCATCCTGTATTAAATTAATACTAGAAAATACATGCATGCAGAAACCCTCGCCTTGCTGACAAAACTGACATGAAGTACAGGCCTCGAATTTCCCTGAAATCAATCGACGGCAATGGCGTTAAAAATTGCTGTAGAACGTAACAGCTGTCTACGGCAATTTTGGCAGTTTTCATGGCATTTTTCAAATTACTGTAATAAAACTTTAATTTTATTGTTACTTTGGATTTTTGACAAGCTAGAAACATGTCTACATATTTCTTTGGTGTTTTTTTTTCGAAGAAAACTGAGAGTAAAATAGTAATTTACGCATGATTTGATCAACATCTGAATTCAAGTATCAAAGTAGTAATGCACAGTGAATAGTATAGAAATTGCACTACAGACAAAAAATTGCTGTTGTTGCCGCAGCAGTTTGTTCTCCCTCTTCGGCAATTGCCACGATAAAATCTTCATTGTAAAGTAGTTGTCAGGGTAACACGATAATTTTTTAAGAATATTCTTACAAATGCAAAATCGCCTAAAAATATCACTTTTAATTACAAAATTATTAATTTCCCAACATATATATGTTAGGTATGTTATTATACGTAATATAAGCCTCAATTTAAGGTAAAATTCAACCACAAACGCTTCGCAAAACAACAATATGAAATTGGTCGAAGACCCGTACTCAGGAAATAAAATAACAACATAAAACGCTCACTGAGTTTCCAGCGATATACATACCCTATATGTGACAATGGTAAATGAGCTCACGAGTGGAAGGAATACAGTCGTTCGTTCGTTTATTATTATTAGGTATATATCTAGAAAAGGGTATGTATATCGCTGGAAACTCAGTGAGCGTTTTATGTTGCTTCGCAGAACATTTCAAAGTCACCATACTTCCATATAGACTATGGTGTTATAAAACTAAACTGCCTTTTAAAATGGCTTTATCGATAAACTTTGAGTTTGCAAATAACTTTGCTTTCTTTTATATTTAAAAAATTCAATATCATAAGAATAGAGTCAATATTAAAAAAAAAATACACTGAAAGTGAAATTATATGCTGTTTTGTTTAGTTGTTTCATATATGCAAAGGCCGTTGGGTTTTAAATCAATTATAAAATCAATATTTAAGGTGGCTCGCTACAGTTTATAGAAATGTTGAAAATGCGTAAACTAGATCACCTTTCTCAAGAGATGATGGTCTTTAGAAATCCAAATTTGTACAGTCGAAAATTGGTCAGAAAAGTGACGTCACCTCTGTTGCTATAGCAACAATAACAATTCAAGATGGCCGATATTTTGGCTTTGAACACATTTTACTTTAAAAAAAGGTCGGTTACCCCCATTTTTTATTTCAGAAAACATTTTCTTATAGTACAATACACTATCTGACCAATTTTTAAAAAATTCTCTAATGCAAAAAAAATTTATTTTGAAAAACCATGTTTATAAATTTTTAAAAAATTTGGCATTGCAGAATTTTTTTAAAATTGGTCAGATAGTGTAATGTACTATAAGAAAATGTTTTCTGAAATAAAAAATGGGGGTAACCGACCTTTTTTTAAAGTAAAATGTGTTCAAAGTCAAAATATCGGCCATCTTGAATCATCATTGTTGCCATAGCAACAGTGGTGACGTCACTTTTCTGACCAATTTTCGACTGTTTGATTGTCGCTGTATATATAATATACAAATTTCCATTTGTAAAGAGCATCATCTCTTCAAAAAGGTCATCTAGTTTACCCATTTTCAACATTTCTATAAACTGTAGCGAGCCACCTTAAAACAAACTTACCTTCGTTAACGTCGGCTCCCTTCTTTTAGCCGATTCTTTCGTACTAGACCGAGCTCAAGAAAAACTAAAGAAACGAGATACCTGGTATAAGAAAGGAGGATACGAAAGCATTATTTTTGTACCAGCAACACCAAAATCGATCCTTAAACAACAATACGAAAGAGAAGTTAGACGTATTGGACTCAACATTAAGATTGTCGAACAATCAGGTGTAACCCTCAAACGACAGTTACAACGGTCAAACCCTTTCAAAGAAAAACTGTGTCAAAGACAAGAATGTCTGATCTGTCAGAGTGGGGGAAAAGGAGAATGTAATGCAACAGTCACCTACGAATTAGTTTGCCAAGAGTGTAAAGATAAATATATAGGAGAAACTTCAAGAAGTGCATATAGCCGTGTTAAAGAACAATGAGTGAACTAAGAATGAGTGGAACTATGTGAAAGTTCCCCGTACTATTGTAACAGTAGAGTAATTATATGACTACATGAAGTTTTACCCTTTTTGAACAGAAGATTGACTATATTTGTGCTACATGAAGTTTTTATTCGTTTTTTATCTATTTACAATATGGCGATTTATTGAAAAGGTCCGAAGGACGAAACTTGTTTGAAATCGCCTTTTTAGTTTTTTTTTAATTGTATATATGGTGTAGAAAGCTGACAATAAATATTTTATAATATCAATGAGTTTCTTTCTCAGAGAGCGTTTGAAATTTACAAAATCTTGCAAAAATGCAAGCAAAATGAAATATATTTGCAAGAAATTTATCACTCACCAAATCAAGAAATGTTCGCTATTTCGCTGTCGTCATGCAGTCGTTATAATGCAAACTTTAAATTGGACCAATCTGTGTCCTCTATTCGTGATAGTCCACCATATTTTTGAGATCAGTGAGGATGACCACCCACCCAACACTGTTGGTGACCCACGCCCGCGATAATTGATGAACTTTAGACTCCGCTAATGCTTTCGTTTCCCCGGGTGTAAATAGCCGGGGGGGGATTAGTACCCTCGTACGGCGCTTTGCGCCATCGGCTCGGGGATAATACTTTGATTTTGCCTCCTTGATTTTGCGATTTACTAGGTTTCTAAACTTTTTATACATGTCCCAGTGGTAACCTTCTTTACTGCTGTTCGCCTTTTTGTGATGAAAATCACGGTCATTAATATGAGAAGCTATTGTAGGATTCATCCAAGGCACTTTGACACCATTTATTCTGCGGTATTTCAAAGGAGCGTGTTCATTAAAAATATCAGAAAACAGATTATTCCAACTAATTACAGCATCGTCAATGGAGTCGGTACTTTCAAGTAGGGCATTCCAAGGGACTTGTTGTGGGTCTTTAATGAATGCATCTTTTATTGTAATTCTTATAAGACCGATATTCTATTGTTCTCGGCAATGCATGGGGGACACCACTCTTGCAAACACAATAGACCAAAGAATGGTCACTGAGGCCAAGATGTAAAGCGCCAGAGCTAACAATTCTATGTTTTTCGTTTGTGAATATCATATCTATCAAGGCAGAGCCTTCCGATCAAAACGAAATTTGACCGGAAATTTGCAAAATTGACCGGAATTTTTTTTAGTTTAGTTTGACAAAGTCCACTCCTCCCCAATGAGCAAACTCTGTCAAGCATGCAGACGTGCACTGAGTAAATCACTCTACTTGCAATTGTGTAAGGCAATTGTAACTGTAGCGAAAATTCAAAATGGTTGTGAGCCGACGGGTGTTTTAAATTGATTGACGGGTGATTTAAATTGCAAATTATTAAGACTCACCTCACATTTTCTCGACAACACCACGCTGCAAGCCACCTTCTTGTTTATTGAGCCCGTGAACCAGCCTAGTTCCTGGCCTTCTCGCTTCCGCCTCATTATTTTAGGGGGAAGTTGATAAGGCTTGCAGGTTGACCATGATAAAGCTGTATTATTTGGAGACTGGGGAAACTGACAGCCCGCAAGTTCACGACAGCCTGTAACTCACCCACGCTTGGAAGGCCAGGGACTAGGCTGCCTGTGAACTATACTTTCCAGTTGATTACTTTATATTAGCCTAATATAGATAATCCAAACTTACAGATGGTACTCACTGTGCTGAGCGCCGACCCGATCATTAAGAAAACATTTTTCTTTTTCTCAAAATTTAGCCGGACAAAATTTCCGATCATTTCAACATTTCGTCGGAAAAATTGGAATTTGGTCGGAAAACCGCCGGCCGTTATTTTAGGCTCTGCAAGGTGCTCGAGTTTTCATAATTCTTGTTGGAGAGGATATTATCTGCTCTAGATCATAATTTTCTGTGGTTTGTCTCAACTTTCTCATGAGCGATGAATCCATGCATGGCGATTATTTACTCTCTGTAATGAATTATCCAAGTCAGTCAGAAATTTGTTGATAGGTTGGGATGGGGTTCTATATATGCATCCAATAATCAAAGGTTTACATTTCGTACGGTGTAATTCGATCCAAATAGCCTCATTATTGCCCTTCAGGTCGTCCCTTAAGCTGTAGTTCAAACTCTCACGACAATAAATTGCTACCCCACCACCTACACCATTAACTCTGTCTTTCCTAACTCACAAATAGCCCGAGATGTTGATCTCGTCCTCAGATATATCTGGATTTAACCATGTTTCAGATAATGTCAATATATCAAACGATTTGCTATTAGTCATTCCTACCACCAATTCATCAAGTTTACTTGGTAGGCTACGGATGTTTAAGTGTGCTATCTTTAACCCTCTAGATTTAACATCAAAGCCGACTTTTTCTGAAATAGTATTAGTTGCTCCAGGGCCAGGTTGTGGACAGATATCACCAGCAAGTAATACAAGACTTCCAGTCCATAAGATCCATCTTCATTAATTTCAATACCTTTATAACTTTCCGTTCTACTGGTTGCCTACAAATTGCATCATACGTTGGCCTGCCCAAGACTTCATTTCTCCTCGGAAATATCTTTATATCACTTCCACTTCCAATAGACAAAAACCTAGCTTTGTTAGCACTAGGATTACCAGTATTTTGGAAGTTTAAAATCAAATACAAGACAAGATATAACGTAAAAATGCGAGCGAACTTCGGAGCATGTATCGCCGCCATGTTGGGTTTCTCAGTTTTGGGTTTTGTGTATCGCCGCCATGTTGTGCTTGTTTTCATACGAAGTGTGTGAATGTTAAAGTTGATCTGGGAATCACAGTGACCAGTAACCTTTCATGGACAACCCATATCAACAAAATAAAAGTCAAGGCAAACAGGTTGCTGGGTTTGCTTAGAAGAACATGCCCCTTGTTAACAGACTTGTTCTGAATGCTTAGATAAAATATGGGGTTAAAGCTTATGTTCACACGATATTGGTTACGAAACAGTGACAGTATAAAATGGATTGTGTGCTTGTTTTCATACAAAGCTTGACACGTTCACATGACTCCGAAACTTCATCTGCCTAGAAAATCAAAATAACAATGTTTATTGTTTCAGATCTTCCTTATCTGAAGAAATATTAGAAAACAATAATGCATTCCAAAATATTCAAAACTAAATAAGTACTTTTAGTATTTTTACACAAGTGAATATAACAAATCTTATACAAGTTGATTGGTGAATTAAGCTGTTATATTCACCTACAGGTGCAAAATGGGGCTAGCCGTTTTGTGGAAGTTACTGAATGCTGATAAACAGATATGCAAAATTAAAATAAATTTTGTCCCAGAAAACACAAAAGACTTGTGTAAAAATCCTAAAACAAATATTTGCCTCAGGCTGGGTGATTATGAATATTCCCTGATAATCATCTTGCCTTCGGCGAATAATTGTTAAATATCGCTGACCACTTAGTCAGGAATCTCTGGCTTTTTTACAGTCCAGTCAATCTACAAGATTTACTTGGTCCAGTTCGAGATAGACTATTATGCAAGTCATGCGAGTCTTTCATTGTTTCAGCTCTCTCAATGCTTTCTACTCTGTGTTAGTTTATAAATGGTCAAATAATATCTCTTTGATACACAACCCATATATCCTTCTCTTCCCTTATAAGTGATAGCTTATATTTGTAAATATTGAAATATATTTCGGCAGTTTTTATTGAAATTTTCCAGCATAATCAGCAATACGATACCTTAGTTCCCATCTCCCTTGTGCGCATAAATTGAAAGCTGGTATTGCCTATTGTCCCGTGGGACATCACAAAAACCTTTTTATGGTTTCCTCTGAATAATGGGGTGATTGTGTATTATATTGTGTGGAAGATACACAGGTAGGTGAAATTCAAAATTGAATTTTTGCAACAAACTATTTTAAACTTCTTGAAATTTTTTAAATCCTTTCCCTTCCCGAACATTAAAACCTTTTAGGAATTTAAAGTTTTGCTCTGTTCTGTTCTGTCATAAAATTATTTGGAATTAAAAATGCTCTTATATTGTTGATATATTGTTGAGATATATTTACACTCGCGATTTTTAATGCAATTTTTCCTGCAATGTTTTCTGCTGTTAACATGAAATCACCAGTGTAAACATCCTGCATTTTCACTGGATGTTCTTGTCAATATCAATGCAACTTGTTTTAACTGTACATATAATTGAAGAACATATGGACAAAGGTGAATGAAACCTACAACATTTCTGACATCATTGCGTACAAGACACGGTAAATAATCGGAAATTGTGGTCACTAGTAAGTAAAATCCTTCACTTTCTAGTAAACGTTATTTATGGAGTGACACATCAGCCAGTATTCCCGATTGTATATAAGTTTAATATTTTATTCTTTAATCAGGGGTTCGACTGCTTCATTGAGCAATGAGCAAGTGTTGTTTATGCACTTGCGACTTAGATAATGGCCAACCAATTGTGGAATTGCATAAGAAAGGAGCCGACTCCATGAACGACGTTGGCGATGAAGGGATTAACTTTGAGATTGGCCAGAAGGTCACGTTAATTGCCGCAGAGATTTCTGCCGAGAAGCTGGTTGAAAGAAAAACTCTGGACCGACAATTGCAACAAAAGTCAAATCAACCACTTCAAGATGCTCGTCGAATCCTCAATTTCTATGGAATGAGCATTGCTTCTTCTGTGGTGAACCAGCAAAATACGATGGGTGCAAGAAAGGCTTTGAAGTTATCCCAGTGAGAACAGAAGATCTCCAAAACGCGATAAGTGGCATTTGTCATGAAAGGAACGATGAATGGGGTTCAACCGTGTTGGGAAGCCTGGAGTATGCCAGAGACCTACATGCTGTTGATGCTTGTCTATCACAACCAATGTAGTGTCAATTTTCGCACTGGTAAAGATGTTCCATGTAAGTACAACAGTGATAATCAAACAAAGAAACAAAAACAAGCCGGAAGACCACAAAATGTCTCAAGGATTGATGCATTTCTGAAAGTTGTGAAATATTTGGAGGAAAATGACGAAGAGCAGTTTACCGTTAACGACTTGTGTGACAAGATGAATGACTTTCTTAAAAGTTCAGATGATGAAGCATACAGTGCTGTCTACATGAAAGATAAACTTAATGATCATTTTAGTGACAAAGTTGTTATCACAACCATTAAGAACAAAGCCAATATTGTCACTCTACGGAAAACTGCAGCATCGATAATTAATGAATTTTACTGCACTTCAAAACAGACCAACTTTGAAGCGGAGAAAGCAAAAATTGTGTCAACTGCTGCACAACTCTTTAAAAGCGAGATTAAGAACTTTGAAATTGCTACTATATCTATCCATGTGGTGATGAGGTTTCATCTACTGAGGACGCTTTGAAATATGTCCCAAACCTTCTTGAGCAATTCTTAAGATCTCTGTTTGTAGGAAAGGATATTGATTTAAAAGTTACAGCAATCACACAAGCAATGATCCAGGCTACAAGACCTAGAGCCATTATGGGCTCCCTTCAATTTGCTCTAGGCGTTCAGATGCATCATCACTTTGCTTCACATATCAACTGCTCACTGCCTCCCGTCAACTCGAAAAATAAAGGACTGCATTATCGTAACGTTTGTACATAGAGACATGAGGGAAGCATTTTACAAAAATTGCAGTAAGTTAATTGGAAAAAAAGTCAAGACCTGCCTATAATTGCAAGTGAGTATGGCAACAAGTCACTGACTTTTCACAGAAAAAGACTTGTTGGTAAAGTAAACAAATTTAAGTGCAGGAGTAAATGGAAATGTGTTTGGAGGATGAAAAATAAATACTGGCTGCATAACCGGCCTCAACCCATTAAGCTGCCCTTAATGCACCTTTTATCATCTTATCAAGAGGTGAGCATTGGCACTGAATGGGTTAAACACTTTTTTACAGGAAAATTGGGGATGATTAACAGTGAAATAAGACTATTAAAATGTAATTGTATGTCCAAAGAGAGTGGAAGGGTTGACTTACCATTCCTCCC